TTTTTGAGAAGATTTTTAAGAATTTTTATCTCATAAAAAATTGATAGGAACGGGGTCCCAAATACTCTGTATGATATGGTAGAGTTAAATATAATTAAATAAATATGAATATGATAAGATAAATAATCATATTCAAGATAAATAATTTTTTGTTTTTAATTTCTATCTCAATTTATTTTTTTGTTTTTGGATATTAATGGACCAGTAATAAGGTATCATTAAAGAAAGAGTTCCACTTGTATTTAGTCCTCTATTTTTTTCACAAGACATACATGAATGAATCATGATGGTCTTCCATTAGATTTCATGTAGATTGCTGTCACTTACGATATTGTTACGGTACTCACAATCTAACAGGCGTTCCTCGATTCGATAGAGACACTAACGAATGTAGGTCTTAAGAATTGATCTATTTATGCTTGACAGCTTGTTCTTATGATAATCCAAAAAGACTAGCAACTAACGATTAAATTGCAACGGAATGGTATTATCAGTTATTATGATCGAACAATATAGTTAATCTAATTCCCGTTGGTCCTTTTTAATTAGTATGTACCGATTCAAAATTTTCACATATTTCTAGTTGCCTTAAACTAAAATTATCTCTAACTTTTTTTTTTTTTAGAAAATAAAGGATATAGTTATGAGCTTCTGGAATAATATAAAAGAGTTACTACACATACAATATTTATTTTTTTTAAGTATTAAGATATATTTTTTGGATAACCGTGTTTTCTTTGTTTTTTTTTTTACAGTAAATAACTTCTTTTAGGAGGAAATAGTGAGTAGTTTTCATAAACATGTATTAAGTAACTTTGGGTTTCTAAGTAAAGCTACAATACTAATTTTTCAAAAACCATTTTTATATTACAATTTTACGACTATAATTTTCGACAAAATTTTAAAATAGTTTTTAAAGCAATTTTTGGGCAAAGCTACTGTACAAATGATATGATTTCTTTAAAAGACACTAACAACTTTTAATTGAAATTATTTATGAAGATGTTTAACTATTTATAAATAAAATTAGTTTAATAAATATGATTTTTTTAAAAAAAATAAAATGAAATTTATATGACGAAATTTGAAGTAAATAAAGTATTTTCTTGCTATGCTCCAGATATTGCAGGAGGGACTATGATTTTGGATCAGAGTCATAATCAACTTAAGAAAAATATAAATTCCTTTGGGATAATGGAGGGACTATGATTTTACAAAATCTGTAATGGAGAATCCAACAATTTCCATGCTTGAAGGTTGATTGTTATACTAGTTCACTCTTAATACCATTTAAATCTGATTAATTAGCTTAAAATATTTAAACTTTAAGTTAGTTAATAGAAATACAACCAGCCAAATCTTAATCCAACTCCAATGTGGGAAATAAATGGGGATGTTACATTCATACAATTTTAAGTATTTATCTATAATATAATTAGCCTAAAAATTGATTTATTTTTTATTATTAAAAAAATTTATTAATGCTTTGAATGAATTTTTGATACAGGTGGAATAATTCAAATAAGTTTATATTGTTTAACATAGAATTTTTTACTTTCATGCCGGCATTTATTCTTTGGGTTAACAGCATCATGAAGAAGACATCTTTCACTTGCATCTTTGTCTCCATCTCCACAAAAAATATACTTTCAATCCATAAAGAAAGATGAAACACACGCATAAATTCCATCACAATATTAAGTGTTACATGCGTTGGCAAATCGAACCGTCTTTAGACCGCTGACTCACTGACAATGCCATGTAACTTCAAAGGTAATAGATCAAACCACATGACTCATCTATGAAACCTCCCACCGCTAAGAAACTACACAGACATCATACGCTTGCTAACTCGGAAAACGAAGCATAAGCTTGCGGTCGATGGATCGATGAGCACAAGGCGAACTGGACTGGACGAGAGAGACGCAAGCTCAGGTGCGTGCGTCCATGGCCAGAATGGTGCTCAAGTTCATGGGGTTCATGTACTCGTTGGATCCCGTCATGAACTGGCCCACGATGATCCGGTTGGCTTTCTCGGTAGGATGGTATGCATCCCAAAACGCATAGATGTTCCTGTTGGGGCAGAGATTCGAGAGAACCGTGCACAGACCCAGTCCGTTGTAAGGTCCTTGACCGCAGCATGCCACCTTCGATGTGACGAAGCCTGCCAAATCAAACACATGCATGATCAGTACTACAGCTTGAGTGTTGTTGGTCTTCAGATGATGAACACCGCACTAGACTTGGCTTTTCTCGCTGATTACCATATGCTGCGGGGTCGGATATGAAGTCCATGTGCATCTTGTAGGCATTGACGGCAACGAAGACGTCGTCGCCATATTGGCTGTTGAGTTCGCTCATGAGCTGCACCAGCTGGGGGTTGTACAGGTCTGGGACGCGTTGCATCTCCGGGTCACATGCGCCCGACCTGCTCCTCGTCGCTAGTATAGCAGGCACGCAACCCAGTGGCCCGATTCCGGTGACCAGGAATCGTCGGCAACCCAGATCGTAGAGCTTCTGCATTGTCACAACAACAGAAACTTAGAGGGAGGGAGGAAGGGAGAGAGCGAAAGGTTGCATACATACCATGAGGATCTTCTTGTACTCCGAGATGAGATAACGGATGTAATCAGGCAGGGAGAACTCTCGAGATCTGACAGAGTAAGGCACGAGGTAATAGTTGTTGACGAAGTCATTTCCTCCCAGTGTTATCAGAACCAGCCCCTCGTTGACGAGCTTCTTCGTCCGTTCCGCACCGATCAAGGAGCTTAGTCTCCCCTGGTACTGCTCGAAGTAATGCAGCTGCTTGTTGATCCTAATTATGTTGGCCTGCAAACACATACACACACGAGCGCGCACATCAGTGACCACTGAAGTGGATCCCTCCTCGTCGACTGCGAGACGAGACTCACAAACTGGAAGCCGGTGTCGTTGAGAATCCCGATCCCTGCCGACGCGAAATTTGCACCCACCAGAAGCTTCTCTCCGTCGAGCTGAGGGCTCAAGTATGGCAACGTGGGTTCAGCTCCGAGGTATTCACCTGATGAGACACACCGGAGAAATTATAGAGAGGTGAGAGGACCGAGTTTTGGATGTGCATGCACTCGGGATGAGTGTGAGCATGGAGAAGACGACTTAACTGACAATGTCGGGGACATTCTTCGCGTTAGAGAATCGGCCTGTAGCACGGTGAGATGGGGTGTCGATGCCGTACGGAGGTTCATCGGCTCGTGCTGTGGTTGCCAAGTAGTTGTTGTTGCCATTGTCGACCAGGGAGTCCCCAAACACAAAGAAAGCACGAGTTGCCAAGGACGACGATGGCAGTGTCCCTGCTGCAACTAGGCTGAGGAGGAGGGCGAAGAGAAGACCTCGGGACTCGGCCATGGTCGTGGAGGACTGATGTGCGAAGTTGAGGCTGAAGAGCACGGGAGGTGGATGGCTTTATATAGGATGAGCCAAGGGCTCGTTTCACCTTCCCCTGCCAACTACTAAAGGTCATGGAGGAGGACGACAGGGACCGCCGTGGCCCTGAAAGCCTAAATTGATTCACTCCATCTACTCCTTCGAGTGTTTGGTAGACGCTTTTACTGCTGCACCTTCCACTCTACAACGTATACATACACATAGTTTGGTATTTGATGATCAATTCATGTGAGATCGGTGGCAGCATATCTATTGATGATGAGAATGACACTCGATAGTCTAATCCACATTCAAATTAAGCATCAACATCAGGGGTCATGGGGATCATACAGTGACGTCTAATATGCTCTAGCTTGAATTGTCTCATGGCAGATTGACTGACTCTCTCTTGTGAACTTAGCGACAGCGTCCCGTATTGATGATGAGAATGACGTTTAAGATCGTATTCCACGTGCAAACTACGTTCGGTTGTTGCCATCCGAATCCTATCCATATTGATGTTATCACTTTGGACTCAAACCAAAGTTCTAAGCGGATTCTGAAATATATATATATATATATATATATATATATATATATATATATATATATATATATATATATATATATATATATATATAACATTACAGATGTATTAGTATATACATAAAGAAGGTATTTTATTTATTGATGATATTATTTTAACTGATGAGAACTTAATAAATTTGATTCGAAACTTGAGTTACAGAAATAAACCTCCAAAACTAAAAAATATATAGTATAATATATTATAGTA